CCTCATTCTTAGGCCACAAAAAGGCAGAAATGGCCACCAGGGCTGGGCATGGTGGCTGACACTTGTAATCCCAGCACTTCGGGAGGCCGAGGCAGGAGGATTGCTTGAGGCCAGAAGCTTGAGACTAGCCTGGGCAACAGTGAGACCCCATCTCTTGGGAAAAAAAAAAGAAGAAGAAAGAAAAGAAAAGAAGTGGCCACAAACAGCTCCAGGCATACTCCTGCCTGCTTAGCTACCCTATCAGAAGAGAATGCCTCTTTACCCTCAGTTCCAGCTCAAATGCCAGGTTGAGTCACATGACCACCTCTGAGCCAATCATAGAGGCCCGGGGGAGAAGGGCTTCTGATTGGATAAGCCAGGGACACACTGTCAACCCCAGCGCTAGGCCTGGGAATTAGCCCTGCCCAGCCACTAGTCTAAGAACTGGGGAAAAGGCGGTGCTTTCCAAAGCAAAGTTGAGGGGCCTCTTGCTCCTGGGAAGTTGAGAGGGAGAGGCTGGGCCAGCAGAAACATCCTGTTCACTGCACGGAGGCTGGTGTTAAACAGTCGTGTGGGCCGCGGGGCACCGTTCCTGGGAGGTGGGAGGTTGCTGGCAATCTCTAGGCTAGGGCACCACGCCAGGGCCCTGTCTCTCCCGCTGCAGTCCATCTCGGGTTTCGCGCACAGCTGCTTCCAGTATGCCATCCAGAAGAAATGGCCGCTGTACATGAGCACCAAGAACACCATACTGAAAGCCTATGATGGGCGTTTCAAGGACATCTTCCAGGAGATCTTTGACAAGTAAAGCCTCATCCATGTACTCCGTGGCCTTTCTTCCCTTCCCCCCATGCTGTTCCCATCCTATACTCTGGGGAGGTCACTATTAGAATGCATTTGGCTCAGCTCCGAGGCTCAGGGAGGGATCCCCAGCCTGTCAGCCTTCTGCCCTCTCCCCATAACAGACCTTTTTACTCCCAGGCACTATAAGACCGACTTCGACAAGAATAAGATCTGGTATGAGCACCGGCTCATTGATGACATGGTGGCTCAGGTCCTCAAGTCTTCGGGCGGCTTTGTATGGGCCTGCAAGAACTATGACGGAGATGTGCAGTCAGACATCCTGGCCCAGGGTATGCTGGGAGGATGCTGCTCCCTGTGGGGGTGGACTATTGGTCTTCTCTGGCTGGAGGGATTTTCAGACCCTTTTGGTAGAAAACTCTAGTGGAGCAGCAGGACTCATTGCAGGGTCCTCTGTGGACAGCAGGGGGCAAGAGCTCCCTGGCATCTGAGTGAGAGAGGATCACAAATTAGGTTTGGACTGGTGTATTACTGAGGCTGCTCTTAGAGAGAAAGGAGGGCACAGGAATTCCAGGGCTAGGTTGTCAGCCCTAGGTTGCTCCAGTCCTCCATGATGGAGCCTCATGACTCTGATTCCAGTAGGAAAATGGGATCAAGCAGGACTGGAGGTTCTTTAAACTACAGCGAATGCTTTTTGCATAGTGAACCTAATGGATGGAAGAGAATGTCGGGGAAGCCTGCAAACCCCCAGGCCCTAGGGTGTCCTAAAAGACAAATCAGATTGCAGTAAAAAGTATAGGTGATGAGGTCAGGAGTTTGAGACCAGCGTGGCCAACATGGCGAAACCCCGTCTCTACTAAAAATGCAAAAAAGTCAGCCGGGCGTGGAGGCGGGCGTGGTGGCAGGCACCTGTAATCGCAGCTACTTGAGAGGCTGAGGCAGGAGAATCTCTTGAACCCCAGAGGCAGAGGTTGCAGTGAGCCGAGATTGCGCCATTGCACTCCAGCCTGGGCAACAAGGGTGAAACTCCGTCTTCAAAAAAAAAACAAAAAAAAACAAAATAGGTGAGACCGTTAGAGAAGAACAGCGAGAAATGGGCCAATTGTGTTGGGAACAAGAGCAGGAAAGGTGGTAGGCATGGGAAACAGGCAGGACATAGAGAGTGAAAGAGAAACCTAAGTTTGCCAGGGCAGCTCCTGGTAAGGGGAAAAGGGAAGCCCGGGACCGGTTCTGATGAAAAGCAGAGTCTTGTTACTTTGTGTAAACCTTTGGCTTTACTTTGGAAAGTTCAGTGGGGATCCTCTCACCAGAACAATTCCCATGTAGGATAGAAGGATGAAACGCCGTGGCAGATGAGGCAGAGGCGTGAAAATTAACCTTAAGTGTCTAAGGAATGGTGTGAAGGTGCAGGTAAAATGGAGAAGGGATTGCTCACAGCCAAAATTCTTAGAATTCATAGACAAAGCATTTTCCTGTAGATGCTGTCCATGTTTTCTTTCTTCAATCCTTATTTTGGTGTCATGGGGGTGCCTTTGAAGCCCTGGAGCCCTTGACAATAGAAAAGTTTGCTGGAGTTGACATGTGGATTTGGGAACATTCGGAAATTAATCAAAAAGCTTGAAAGTGGCCTAAGAGAGCAGCTGCAAAAGTGATTGTCGGGAAATAGCTGACCACAGCTTTATTGTTTTGCTTGAATGTGCCTCCAGGTCACGAGCCAGGCTGGATGGCAGGCTGTGGGGGACCACAGGACTCTGTGGGGTCTTGGGCCCTATGGGCCACAGGCTGTGGGGTGCCTGGAGCTGGTGACACAGATGGATGTTAATGTGCTGCTGATAGCCACCCTCTAGTGCCCTCCAGCCCTGTGCTGGGCCCTGGAGACCCACAGCAGGGTGGAGAGGCCTGGAACAGTCCCTGTCCTCCCAATTGCAGTTGGGGGAGGCTGAGTAGAGCCACAAACTGTGACAGCTACAATATTGGGTTATAGAGGGCAGCAGGGCTCAGCTGGGTGGCCCCAGGAGAGGCGAGGCCCTGAGAGAAAGGCTTTCTACCCTCCAGGCTTTGGCTCTCTTGGCCTGATGACGTCTGTCCTGGTCTGCCCTGATGGGAAGACGATTGAGGCTGAGGCTGCTCATGGGACCGTCACCCGCCACTATCGGGAGCACCAGAAGGTGAGTGCAGGGCATGGGGCCTCACAATGCTCCTCTACCTCTAGCCCACTGGGCTAATGGCTGGAAGGATGAGCCTGACCCGCCAGTCCCCAGGGGTGGGCAGCTGTATCTGGGCAGCCTCCTCGCTAGCTGGCTCGGCTCTTGATCCCCCTGCGACCCCCGTCCCCAGGGCCGGCCCACCAGCACCAACCCCATCGCCAGCATCTTTGCCTGGACACGTGGCCTGGAGCACCGAGGGAAACTGGATGGGAACCAGGACCTCATCAGGTGAGCATGGAGGGAAAGGCCGGAGCTGCTCAGGACAGGCTCTGGGTCCTGCCCTTGCACAGATGGGATCTCATTCTGCCCCATCCCCCGTAGGTTTGCCCAGACGCTGGAGAAGGTGTGCGTGGAGACGGTGGAGAGCGGAGCCATGACCAAGGACCTGGCGGGCTGCATTCATGGCCTCAGCAAGTGCGTGGCCTGGGGTGGTGGGCAGACCCTGGGGCCAGGTGGGAGGAAGCCAGGGAACCCTTCCTAAAGTTCCCCTCATGAGTCAGCTTAGCTGCCAGGGGGCCTGGGGCAGGACATACCCATAGCCCCAAGAGATTGCTCAGGCCAGCCTCTGCAGACCAGGCCTAGTGAGTTCCTCCCCATCCCTGAGGCTGGCTGCTCAGAGCTCCTTCTGACCCTGCCCACGCCCCTCTCCCAGCTTCTCTCAGGAGAGCAGTTACCTGGAAAGACAGACCCTACTGGTGCCTGCCAAATCGCTGTGGCCTCATGGCAGTGGCCTATAGCTGGCCTCTGGCCTATAGCCTGGGTGGCAGGAGATGGCTGTTCTGATGCCCAAGCTCAGGCTGTTCCCTGGAAGGGCCTGGAGCCGCCCCTGATGTAAGTGGTGCTCTCTCTGCAGTGTGAAGCTGAACGAGCACTTCCTGAACACCACGGACTTCCTTGACACCATCAAGAGCAACCTGGACAGAGCCCTGGGCAGGCAGTAGAGGGAGGCGCCACCCATGGCTGCAGTGGATGGGCCAGGGCCGAGCCGGCGGGTCCTCCTGAGCACGGCAGAGGGTGAGCCTCACAGCCCCTCTCTGGAGGCCTTTCTAGGGGATTTTTTGTAAGCGAGATGTTTTTAAAAGCATATGTGTGTTTCCCCTCCTGGTGACGTGAGGCAGGAGCAGTGTGTTTTACCTCAGCCAGTCAGTATGTTTTGCATACTGTAATTTATATTGCCCTTGGAACACATGGTGCCATATTTAGCTACTAAAAAGCTCTTCACAAAACTGTCTGCTGTGTTTGTCCCTGAGGGGAGGAGGTAGTGGGACCCTGAGGCAGAGGCCCTGCTAGAGCTGGCAGGTTCCCCTGGGGCAGACCAGAGCACCTCAGGAAGGGGCTGCCACCGCGGGGAGGGGACCAGGCAGCCCTGGGATCCCGCATTCCACAGGGGCCCCCTGTGGAGCTCTCGGACACTCAGGGCACAGGCCTGTGGGTTCCCTAGAAATTTCTAGCATGATCCAGTTTCTGTGTCCAGTTCTGCATTCTGAGAGTCAATCAGTCCCTGATAGGTTGTCATTGTTTTCTTCGTTGGTTTTAACCTTCTAAACATCTCCAGACCACTTTCTTAGCCTTTCTCTAGGTACTAAAAACAGGTCCTACCCACACCTGCCTCACACTTCTCCTTTCCAAGGCTGAGTTTGGCGGGGCTTGGGTGTGGGTGAACGAGGGCCCCGCATTGTCTAGGCCAGCGGTTCCCAGGCTTGGGTTCACTTCACCATGCACTGGCAAAACTAGAAAAGTAAGCTTGTGAAAAATTGCTCTCAGCCAGGCATAGTGGTGCACGCCTATAATCCCAGTACTTTGGGAGACTGAGGTGAGTGGATCACTTGAGGCCAGGAGTTCGAGACCAGCCTGGCCAACGTGGTGAAACCCCATCTCTACTCAAAATACAAAAATTAGCTGGGCATGGTGATGCGCACCTGTAGTCCCAGCTACTCGGGAGGCTGACGCAGGAAAATGGCTTGAACCTGGGAGGCAGAAGTTGCAGTGAGTCGAGATTGCACCACTGCACTCCAGCCTGGGTGACAGAGCAAGACTGTCTCAAAAACAAACAAAAATTGCTCTATGCAAGTTCTTTAGCCCCATGTAAAAAGGAAAAATAAAAGTTGCTCTAAAGCTACATATAATCAAAAGGACTGTCTGCTGCATAGTAAGTTCTGCAAAGCGTCTACTTTTTGCTGTTAAAATGTCCTGGAGAAGAGTTGTATAATCTTTATAAAGTCCTGGCCAGGTGTGGTGGCTCATGCCTACAGTCCCAGCACTTTGGGAGGCCGGGAGTTTGAGGTTGTAGTGAGCTATGATTGCACCTGAGTAGAGTGAGACCCCATCTCTCAAAATCCCATCTTACAAAGTCCCTTTCCTAAATACTAGGGGGACTCCTATGGCTCCTGAAACCTGACCATTGCTGTAGACCGAGTGGCCTTGGAAGGGCTCTAGCCCTCCACCCACACTGGTGACCCCCCGCTTCCTCTTCCTGAGTAATGCCCTGAAACTCTCAGGGCTGTAAGAAGAAATGTGGACTGCTGGCTCCAGCAGGCCCAGCCCCTGGGAAGAAGCTCAAGGTTTCCTGCCTCTTCTTGCCTGTCATCAGCACAGGGCTGGCAGCTCTGCTGAATGCAGCCTCTGAAGCCCAGCCTGGCATCGGGAGCTGGCTTCTTTCCTGAAGCCATGTGGGTGGGTAGGGAGGGGAAGCAGCTTTTCTCTGCAAGTGCTGGGAATGCAGGGGCCTTGGCTGGCTTGACTCTTTTGGGCCTGGGGCAGTGGCTGTAGGCGCCTGGCCCTGCAGGTGGCCATTCCAGTGCAGAGGATGGTCTCAGCCTCCCCTGGGCTGCCCCTGGAGAGTGCAGCCCTGCTGTGTGGGGCTGGGAAGTTTTGCTGAGAGTTCCTACTAGGGGTGAGGGCCAGGTCCCCAAGAGCTGGGGAAAGAAGCATTTGCAGTCACCTCACTAAAGAATATTCATTTATTTATAATTATTGCTAAGTAAACTTCTCTTTTAAACAGGAACATAAAAACACAGTAGGGCTTTGCACAAGTGGAATCTCTAAACAGTTGGTTTGTATACATGTCAAAATAAGTTAGAATGGAATTTGTCCAGGAGTTTCCAAGTCACCCGAGAGGCTGTGCACCTCTTTTGAGAAGTGTAGGGAGGGGTGCAGACAGGAGCCTTGCCGAGACCACCCCCCAGCTCAAACTGTGAGTTGTGCTGTTTCCTCCTCCTAGCTTTGCCCAGGTCCAAGGCACAGGGCAGGGGGCGTTCAAGTATCGAACCTCACAGAGGGCCAGTGCTGACAGCGGGGCTGGGGGAGGGAAAGGAGAGCCCCACCCCGGGGGCCAGACCTTCTCCCTTCAGTTTCCAAGACCAAGGCCACTGCACTGGCAGGTGGGAGGAGGAGGAGGAGGTACAGGGTTCTTTTTGGTACCAGGGGAGAAAGACGTTGTAGGAAGAGGTAGTTGCAGGGGATGATGCCTTCTGCTCAGCAGGAGAAAATGTCTTGTGCAGTGACGGGGTCACTGCCACCTGAGGGTCATCATGGCGGGCACCTGGGAGGTTGTGGGGCCTTGGGGTCTGGGAGCCACACTTGGGCCACCTTGTCCATCCTCAGTCCTGATCACAGTCACCCTGAGGCCTGGCTTGGTCCTTCACTTAAGGATCCAGCCTTGGGGGTGGCTGCGCTGCAGATTGGTTCCTCCCACCCGAGGCTGTTCCCCTCTCCGGGTTTCTAGGCTGAAGTTAGTGGCTTCATCTGTGCCTTTGGGGACGACTCCTGCTTGCCACTCCCCACTGAGGCCTCAGGAGGCAAGTGGGTGGGGGTCCGCGTGCCCTAGAGTTCCTGAATGTGATATTTCACTGCCCTGGGCCTGTCGTCTCTGGTTCCAGGGGCAGGAGCTGGCGTGGGAACAGAGGGGAAGAGAGCAGGCGAGCGAGAGAGCTAGCTCTTGGCTGAGCAGAGTCAGCAGCCCTGACAGCCGAGGATGGGACATGGGATGGAGCAAATCAGCAACTGCAGGAGCCAGACAGGGGTGGAGGGCTTTCCAGCTCTGCTTTCTCCTGCCTCCCACCCCAGCCTGCTGAGGCTGCTGCCAGCGGCTGCACCTCCAGGGCCAGTGTGACGGTCCCCATGGAGCCCCGGTCCTGCCCGGCCAGGCTGCTCGGGGTGGGTGGGTAGGAAGGAAGCACGCACAGCACACGAGGAAGCTTAGCTTGGAAAAAGAAAATGCATCTCCATCAGAAAAGGTCATAGGTGACACACAGTTGGAAAGAAAAAAATAAGTTACCTTCAGAAGACCCCCTTTGCTCAAAAAAACCCTTGATTTCCCTCTGTGGGCTTCACTTTCCTTTTTTAAATACGTTGCTCTTTCCGGGGAGCTGCTGACTTGTGGTTATCCCCGTCGCAAGGTGGACACTGAGGAATAAGAAATGACTGCGGTCCCCCTCCCCCGCAGGTGGTCCTGGGCCTTCCCCAAGGACAACCCTTCTTGGTCCCCCGTGGTGCCCTCATTCTGCCCTGCTCTGCCCCATGCTTCTGGTTTTTGTTAGTGTGTGCCCGACGCAGGGCCTGTCCCGGCTTTGTTCCTGGTGGGGGCCCCCTGGTGAGGCGTTCCAGCTAGGGCCGAAGTGGATGACGTGTTGCAATCCACTTTAGGGACACCCGCTTCCAGGAAGGGATGTAGGACAGGGGTCTTCTGGGGGCTGGGCTCCCCCCAGCTGTCCTGCAGGCCAGGGCCAGGGCCACGTGCATGCCTGGCTTGAAGAGCACGTGGGAGACCCCGGGAGGTAGAAGGCAGAGTGCCCTGCCTGGCAGTCTGTCGACAGGGCAGGGAAGGGGGCCTGGACAAGGGAGGGGTGGGCAGTACTGGCCAGAAGGGAGCTCAGACATCTGTAGAGGCAGGAGTTGGCCGTGACAAAGACATGGCTCAAGTGGTCTCTTCTTCCAGTGTCAGGACCCCTGAAGAGCTCTGCTGGGCCTGGAGAGACCCCGAGGGCCTGTGCCCTTGTGACCTGTCCCCAGTGGCCCTACTTCTCCCACCCCCCATGGAAGCAGGCCAGGGAGACTCAGATCTGGGCCTCGTGTTCTCCTTCCCTTGCTGGGATGCCTGGGCCTGTGCTGGCTCACAGCCGGGGCCAGTAGTACAGTCTCCATTTGGTCTAAAGGTCCCTAGTGGTGCAAATGACTTGGGGAGGGAGGGCTCAGAACAGTGGGGCAGTAGCTTGTTTCTTGGCTGCAGGAGGTGCAGCCTGCAGCCCATGGGTCTCACCCCCATTCCCTGGCCCCCCTGGTCCCCGTTGGGGGTGGCCCAGCTCGTGCTATAGCACATTGTAGTAGGCCATCTCTTTCATGGCCTGTTCAGTGAGGACACTGGCCTCGGCGCTGCTGTCCACGCTCGCATAGCTGTAGGCGTTCTCCTCAAAGTCTTCCATCTCCTGCTGGCCGTCGAGCTCAGAAGGGTCAGTGCCTGTCAGCTCCATCATGGGGTCTGTAAGAGAGGGGCACAGTCAGACCTGGCTACTGTCTCATGGGAGGAGTCAGTCACTCCCATGCAGGAAGCTGATGGCCTTTCTAAAGAGAGGGCTTCCCAGTCACAGCCTCCAGGAGCCTCAGCTGCCTCTCAGCCTTCCCACCCTCGGACGCCTCAGGGTCCTGTGGCTTCTAGCTGGGTCACCAGACCTAGGCCGTAAAGCTGAGTGTGGGGGAGTGGGTGCTATCAGTGAGGGCCCTTGTGAGAACTGCAGGCCTGGCCTTGAAGTCTTCTTTGGGTCATTCCTCTATTGACCCGTCAGAGTCACTAAGCCCTACTTATTCCTTCTCTGCAATGTTTCTCGTTGGCCATGGGAAGCTGCCTGCACATCACCTTTGCAACACTTATTAGCACCTGCTGCATGCCAGCCACTTCACAGGCCTCGCCATCCAACAGTCACAACAACCCCATTTAGCAGCTCAACAGGCTGAGGTTTAGAGAGGTGAATCAACTTGCCAAAGGTCACCCAGCACATGCTGTTGTTCTGAGCCACTGTGCTGCTCTGCCTCAAAATGCTGGAGGGTGCTGTTCCTCCTTTGGCCTCCTGCCAGCATCTGTGCTTTTCTATCGGTTCTAGCCATTGGTATCCTTGGGCCTGGCTCTCCAAGGGACAGACAAACACTCAGGGTAGGTTCATAAAGATATGTCAGGCAAAAACTCTGAAGAGGCCCCTTGGAATTTTGTAATTATAAAGCTCTTACAGGGGAAGCCCAGGGTACGATCTGGGGGAACTGGGAGGCTGGCAGGGGCTGTGGCTGGCCCCCAAAGTACATCTGGCCCTGTCTGCTGAGATGTGTGTGTGTGGGGGAAACAGACCCCAGGCTGGGGGCAGCCCTAGCAGGTCTAAGGCAGGCTTTGTCAGCCTTGGCACTTAGGGCCATAATTCTTTTGTTGTGGGGCTGTCCTATGCGTTGTAGGATGTTTAACAGCATCCCTGGCCTCTACCCATGAGATGCCAGTAGCATCACCCCAGTTGTGACAACCATAAATGTCTCCAAACACGGCCAAATGTCACCTGGAAGACATACTCATGCTCAGTTGAGAACCACTGGTCTAAGGGTAATCCCATCCCTTGCCAATTAGTGGTTCAGGAATAGGCATGTGACCCAATCCTGTTGAGAAGGTCATGAGGAAAGGCCTGCTAGTAAGTTCTTAGCACCTTCTCATTGATGTCAGAGAGCTAAGGGGAGCAGGCTGTTACTCTTCCACTGGATGTGAACAAGGAAGCACACACCCTGACGGCCACTGGCAGCCATCTTGTGACCATGAGGATATTTGCAGCTAATGCTGTGGACAGAGGAAGCCTCACCCTGCTGTCACTGTTGGCGAGCTGAATCAGCCAGCTCTGAAGAGGGCCTAGACTTTGAGACATTTCTTTTCTTTCTACTTTTGACAAGGTCTTGCTCTTTTGCCAAGGCTGGAGTGCGGTGGTGCAATCACAGCTCACTGCAGCCTCACCTCAAAGCAATCCTCCCAACTCAGCCTTCCAAGTAGCTGGGATGATAGGTGTGTGCTACCACACCTGGCCTTGAGCCATTTCTTAATTTCCTTATTGTTTAGGCCAGTCTGACTGGGCATCTGTTATGTGTGCCTGCAGCATCTAACGCACTGTGAGTCTGCCGGACTTTACAAAACAAGGTCACGTGTCCCATATCTTATAGATTTGGGCTGTTTCTTCCCTCGGTCCTAGTGCCACACCCTCATGTTACATAGCTGGTTTTAAAAACCAGCTAAATAAAGCACCTTGGGAAAATTTCTACCTGTGGGTCTCTGTACACCATCCCCATTTTGTTTATCAAGTCTATTGGTCCTGTCCTGTGGGCCCCAGAGAATAGTCTGTAGCATTTTTTATAAGGACATTGATCCACCTCCCCAAATGACAGCCCCATAGTTACGAGATTGTTCTGTCTAGAATGTATGCTGCCTGCCTTCTGCATACGCATCAAGCCTGGGCTTCCCAGACTAAGGCTTTATGTGGGAGGTGGGGACCTGGAGGCCAGTCGTTCCAGGGCCAATCGCTTCATTCTGTCATCTGGTACAGCCAGGGAATAGAGCAATTCTAAGCATCCCTGGTGACTGAGCTCATATAGAAAGAGGTTGTACCTTCACCACCCCTAGGAACAAGGTGTACAGGGATAGTCTTTTTAAAAAATCTTGTTTACGGGGGCGGGGTTTCTGGTAAAAACTGGAAAACCTGCTAAACAAATTCTTTTTTTTTTTTTTTGAGTCAAAGTCTCGCTCTGTCATCCAGGCTGGAGTGCAGTGGCACAATCTCAGCTCACTGCAACCTCCGCCTCCCAGGTTCAAGCGATTCTCCTGCCTCAGCCTCCCCAGTAGCTGGGATTACAGGCATGCGCCAACATACCCAGCTAATTTTTGTATTTTTAGTAGAGACGGGGTTTCATCATGTTAGCCAGGCTGGTCTCGAACTCCCAACCTCAGGTGATCTGCCCACCTTGGCCTCCCAAAGTGTTGGGATTACAGGCGTGAGCCAGTACACCCAGCCTAACAAATTCTAAAAGTGCTGTAACATTGACAGTCTCTTCATGGTTCCAGTTATTTCCAAAAGGGCATGGTCTGCTCTGCTTCCTTCTGGTGGGTTCGCAACAGGACAGACCCACGGGAACACAGCTGTCAAAATCTACTGCACATGGAGTCACCCAGAGTGCTTTACAAAAATCCTGATCCCAGGCCACATTCCAGATCACTTACATTTGAACCTCAGGTCCAAAGTCAGGCATCAGCATTTAAAACATTCCTCAGGTGACTCCCAACATGCAGCTGATTTGCCAGCCAGCCCTCTGGAGTCTGGATCAAAGGTTCTCAATGTGAGGTCCCTGAACCAGCGGCCCTTTTGCTAAGAACTAGGAACTTGTGGGAAAGGCAGTGTCTCACACCCTACCCCAGACCTACTGAATCAGAAACTCTAGGGGTGGGGCCAGCACTTTGTTTCAACAAGCCCTCCAGGAGACTCTGAGGCACTAGTCTGGTCCAGTGTGTCTCAAGCTTGACTGTGCAACATATGGCCCAGAGATCTTTTTGAAGTGCAGAGTCTGATTCAGCAGGTGTGGGTGGAGCTGAGAGGCCAGCGAGATCCCAGGTGGGGCCAACGCTGCTCATCCTCCTATGACATTTTGAGTAGCAAGGAGCTACCAAGAGCAGTCGACGGGGTTTCATTCTCATCTACTAGAAGCAACCTTAATAGACAACTGAAAAACAAAACAAAATAACTGAGATACCTGTTTCTGCCAGAAAACCCAGGTCATTCACTGGTTAGCTGCTCCAAAACCAGAGTTAAGGCTACTGCAGCTGTCCCCTGCGTGCCTGACTGCGTTCCAGTAAATAATCCCACGTGGCAAGTCAGCTCACCTGGTTACTGCCAAGGCATGTTCCCAGCTGGTGTGACTCAGAGGCACACCAGAATTTATTATTATTATTTTTTGGCGATAGGGTCTTGCTTTGTCACCCAGGCTGGAGTGCCGTGGTCCGATCACAGTTCACTGCAGCCTTGAACTCCCGGGCTCAAGTGATCTTCCTGCCTTAGACTCCCAAGTAGCTGAGACTATAGGCACACGCCACCACACCCAGCTAATTTTAAAATAGTTTTGTAGAGACCAGGTCTCATTATGTTGCCCGGTTTGGTATCAAACTCCTGGCCTTAAGTGATCCTGCTGCCTCGGCCTCCTAAAGTGCCAGGATTATAGGTGTGAGCCATCATGCCCAGCCAGAGCACCAGAAATAGCTCCAAACTGTAGAAGGAGCCTCCCTGTGGTACTGTCGGCTCCCTCCTTCCTGTGGAGTCTCCACAGCAGTCCCTCCCCACCATGAGGCCAGAGAGGCTAATAGCTTTGCTGTCACCCAACAGAAATGCCTTTAGTACTGACCACTGCTGGAGGGAAAGGCTACCGCTAATGCTTGGCATGTTTTCTGACAGCCTCTGAAACTTCTATGAACTGCTGAGGTGTAGGGTCCTCTCCCAAAATTTCTCCCAGATCTTAACGTCAGGCCCGTCTGGCCCGTTCATGAGTACGTGGCTTATCGTTTGTGGCAGGCACTTGTGAAGAGTGTGACTGATTGACACTTTTTTGCCTTGGTTGCTGGGAAGCTCAGATCTCCCCGCTGCATGTCCCTTCCCTAGGACCTCCCATGGTGTACTTGGGAGTTGGGACCTCACCTGGCTCTCCCTTATCTTTCCAGCTGCCATTTTTTCCCCTTTTTAACTTTCTTTCCCATCCACTTATTTGAAATATTATCTTGCGGTAACGAAATAAAGTGTCTGTCACCTCCTGCTGTGTTGTCATCTTGCATGAGCTACCTAACTTTACTGTTCTTCAGTTTCTGCATCTGTAAAATGATGATAATAACAGAGCCAACCTCGCTCTGAGGATCACGAGTTAATAAAGGCCTGGCACACAGTTAGCACTCAATAAATGTTAGTTATGATTTTTATTATATTGTTTACGTGACCTCATTTAAGTCCTTTGAAGAAGACATAAATATCCCATCGTTATTGTCATCATGGCCCTCCAGGGTCCCCCCCTCTCCAGACCTGAGCCCATCCCAATGAAGTCTCAGCCTTGGCCAGCCTCCCCACTCCTCTAACTGGGCAGGACGCTCCTGAGTGTGCCATGTTGGTATCATTCCTGCTCTGTCCATTGCGCTTGGCCCACCCACCTTGGCTGTCCAGGCCGATGTCCATGACGCCATGCTTGACCTTCATGTGCCGGCTCAGGTTGCCCTTGAGATTAAACTTGCTGGAGCAGTAGGGGCACTTGAAGGGCTTGCTGCCCGCGTGCAGGTGCATGTGACCCAGCAGGTTGTACATGCGGTTGAAGGACTTCCCGCACACCTAGAACACATCAACCCGGTGTCCTGAGCCTGTGGGGAACCTGCTTTCCCTGGACCCCAGCCCACTCCCACCTCTATGGCCAGGCCGGAATCCTATTCTTTTTTTTTTTGAGACAGACTCTCACTGTTGCAGTGGCGGGATCTTGGCTCACTGCAACTTCTGCCTCCTGGGTTCAAGTGATTCTCCTGCCTTAGCCTCCTGAGTAGCTAGTTTTACAGGCATGTGCCACCCTGCCCAGCTAATTTTTTGTATTTTTAGTAGAGAAGGGGATTCACTACGTTGGCCAGGCTGGTCTCGAACTCCGTACCTCGAATGATCCACCCACCTCAGCCTCCCAAAATGTTGAGATTACAGGCATGCGCCACCATGCCCGGCCCAGAATCCTGTTCTTTATGGACAGTTCTCTCTTTATGCTTTTCCATGTGACCCCAGACACCCGAGAGACAGGGACACAAGCCATCCATTGCGGGTCACTGCTCCTGTGGGTCTGCCCCACTTTCTCTGAACCGGAGTTATCAGAAACCCAGGGCTTGGATCTCTAGCAGCACTAAGCCCCCAGGATGGTGTCCTTTCTCTGTGGCTGTGCCATGACCTTCACCCCCTCCCCAGCTCTCATAAAAACCCAACTTCAGCAGCTTTCAGGATCTGAATCCTCACCTGCCCTCCCAACCCCCAAAGCCCAGGCTAAGTTTCACCCAGCCGGGGCTCCTCTTGCCCACACTGGCCAGGCCAGCGCTTGGTGGGCCACAGCTGCTGCAGGCATGCTGATTCCAGGCCACCCTTGGGGAGGTCCCAGCCCTGGGGCCTGACGGCCTGGTACCTTGCATTTGAATGGCTTCACGGGCGAGTGTACAATCATGTGGGTCTTGAGGGTCTGCTTCTGCACAAAGGTCTTGAAGCAGATGTGGCACTGGTAGGGCCGGACGCTGGTGTGGATCAGCATGTGCCGCTTCATGTTTGCCTGTAGGGTGAACTCCCGGCCACACACCTCGCACTTGAACTCCTTCACGCCCTGTGGGGTGGGGGGTGATGGTCAGGGCCACCCAATGGCCACAACCTCTGGCAGTGACCCTCGGTGGGGAGCCGGGTAGGTGCAGGGCCATAGCATCACAAAGGCAGTTTCTGGGAAATGTCTCTTTTTGAGGGTATTCCAAAATAGGTAACACTTGTTTAAAACCACCAAAGAATGTTGGGGCAGAGCCACTTACTCCAGGAAGCCTTTCAGTAATAGACAGAAACAGGCTGTGCCTTACTCCTGCCCCCAGGGTGGATGTGTACATAAGGTCTGTACTAGTGCACTAAGGCAAATGCGTGCTCATTCATTCATTCATTCAACAACCATTTACCGGGCACCTGCCCCAAGCCAGTACCACACTAGGCGGCAGGGGCCTGTGGTCAAGAAGACACAGGGTCTGCCTGCTGTCTGTGGACTGTTTCATCAGATCAAGGACATGTGTATGTGTTTTTATCTTCCGTGCTGTCTCTTGGTGGCCTTTTTGGTTCACAGACCCTTTTGATAATATGATTGAAGCTATGGACACCCCCCCAAAAATGGCACTTAGGTCTGTGTAGAATTTCAAAGGGTCTTAAACTCCTAGAGCCTATCCACTGACCTCTTGAAAGTGTTTTCCTAACTTCCATGGTGATAACAGCCACCTGTAGTTCTGTCCAACATACAGCCTTACAGGCCGCTCCCTGGAGGGTCTAATTTGTGGGGCCTGGGATGGGCCCAGGAATTTTTATTCTCAACAGGGCCCCCAGATGATTCTTATCATTGATGGACTTTGGGCTATTCACCTCCAGGAGACATGGATTCCAGGGGAAAACCCACTGGTTTGGACTGTGAACATGCTTTTCTATGGTTTGGAGGTCACTCCCAGAGCAGGACAGGGTGTTGTGTGCAAAGGGGTCCAATTTATTATCCATGAAGGAAAGTTAGGATAAAAGCTGGGAGCTGGGCTGGGCACGGTAGCTCACACCTGTAATCCCAGCATTCTGGGAGGCTGAGGCAAGAGGATCACCTGAGGCCAGGAATTCAAGACCAGTGTGGATAACACGGCAAGACCCTATCTCTAAAATTTGAAAAAGGCCAAGTATGGTGGCTCATGCCTGTAATCCTAGCACTTTGGGAGGCTGAGGCGGGCAGATCACAAGGTCAGGAGTTCGAGACCAGGCTGGCCAACATGGTGAAACCCCATCTCTACTAAAAATACAAAAATTAGCCGAGTGTAGTATACACCTGTAATCCCAGCGTCTCAGGAGGCTGGGGCAGAAGAATTGCTTAAACCCAGGAGGCAGAGGTTGCAGTGAGCCGAGACCACGCCACTGCACTCCAGCTTGGGTGACAGAGTCGTGGTGGTGGGCCGCTTGTAAGTCCAGCTACACGGGAGGCTGAGGCAGGACAATTGCTTGAACCCAGGGGGCAGAGGTTGCAGGGAGCCAAGATCCATGCCACTGCACTCTAGCCTGGGCAACAAAGCAAGACTGTCCTCAAAAAAAAAAAAAAAAAAAAAAAAAAATCACGTCCATAGAGT